TCGCCACCACAGCACCCCCAATAATGATACTTTTAATGCAAAGTTGCTTTATAAGTTGCATTAAATGTGCCAACTTTGCATTTAAGTGTATAAATTTACCAAATAATGCAAAGTTGGCAGTTTTAATGCAACTTTTAAAGCAACTTTGCACCAAAAGTGTCTTTACTTACCGAATGACACTTCTTGACGACAGTCATAAGACATTCATAGACTCTTTATAAATGTCTTATGACTCATTAAGACTCATAGAGTCTTTATGAATCAGCATCATAACAGATATGTCATGACAGTGTCATGTCAGTCTTATGAACACCCCTTCAAATAAAGTCTTACTGATTATTATTACTACTTTTTGATAAATAATTTCTTGAAGAGAGAAAGGGCCGTGACCTCAGAAAGGTTTTTATTCAGTCCCTATTAAAGGAATTTGCCCCCTTTGGATGTTTACCTTTTTTATTGCTTTTACAAATCATACATAATCAACAAAATATATTTTTTTTATTAAAAAAAAAAATGAAATGTCAAAGTGAAAACTGATTTGTACAAAGCGACGGTGAGTAAATAAAACGGTTGATGACTTTTCCAGCACCAGAAGCTTCTTGATGACTTCCACTCTGTTACTGATGTTGTGCTTTTTGTAACTAACTGATTGAACTGTATGATTGTAAAAGAGATCTTTGATCTCAAAGAGTTTTATCCTGTTTAATTGCCTTTAAAATACTGTTGTTAGTTTATAAACCACTAAACGGCTTTGCACCAAAATGCACATTGTTGTTGTTGTATCAACCTTCCAGAGCTCTCAGGTCTTCTGGTCTTGGGGATGAACCAGAACCAGAACCAAACATGTAGAAGCAGCGTTCAGCTTCTATGTGCCACAAATCTCAAACAAACCTCCAGAAAACTGCAAAACAGCTGAAACACGGAGCTCCCATAAATCAAGGCTTAAAACCCTTTGACTAGCAGTAACCGGAACATCGATCCACATATTTGATGTGTATTTGCATGACGATTTTGTTTATTGCTTAATGTCTATGGTGCTTTTATGATTTAAAACTTTATGAATTTCTTTGTTGCTGAAATGTGCAGGAGAGACCCACTTGACTTGGTGCCTGTCTCCAGAGGTCATTGTGCGAGAGGCAAGGCACAACCCGGACAAGATGTGCCTGTTTGTCCAACATATGGATACACATAGGAATATGACAAACACTAATGCCACCCTCACTCAGCTTAGAGTTTAGTGAATTAACAATCATGTTTTGGTCTACATACACCATGGGTCTTCGCAAAGACCCATGGTGTATGTAGAGAACCCATCCATACATCAGGAGAACATGCAGAACATGCCTTCTTGCTGCAAGACAAGTAAGTCAAAGTTGGAGATCTTCCACTGTCATTAGAGCATGAAGACATGATTCGCTGTCCTCATGGTTGTTGTTATAGGAAGTTGTTGGGGTTGATCAAACTGCCCACTCGAGCATTTCTTTGTTTTCTTTTGGACACGTTTTGTGGTTCTGTGGGCTTTGTGACTACAGAGGACCAAAAGGAAGCAGACAGAAATAAGGAGGGGGGGGGGGGACTTCAAGAATTTTTCTGCACTAAATAAAGACAAAGACCGACCAATCACTAGACAAATACAGAGATCTCTCTATGTGTGTCAGAAATGTTCTATGCTCTGTGCCTAACATTTCTGACAGGCATAGACAGAAATATTAGGCTTAAAGCATAGAACATTTCTGACAGGCATAGAAATGTGTCTTTATTATCTGCTACTTTAAATAGGAATCTACAGTCATTTCTGGTGTTGGCCATTGTTAATCTCTTAGGGAAGCGAGACAACGGTTGATGATCAGGTTTGCTGTGGGAGTGTTACCTTTAATCAGGGTGTGTGTAGTTCAAAAAGTGTGTTTTACTATGAGTTGTCAAGTTGATCTCAGAGATAATTAGTAATCAGTTCGGTAAAAGTAGAAATACATTTTCCACACTTCGCAGCTCCGCCTCCTTGACGTGGATGAGCAAGCAGTTTAATAAGCGGGTTGGGTAGGAGGCTTTATGTAATTTCCAGCTATGTAGTGGTGTTTTATACCGCAGTCAAATAAATACGTTACTTTAAGTTGTTTCAAAAAGGGTATTTATCCAGAATAACTTAAATGTAATTTGACTTCCCATCATAGCCGTTTCTGATGCCTTGATGTTGGCCTACATCAGTGGTTCCCAAACATTTTTTCCGGCGCCCCCCCCTATGGATTACAAATGGCTGTCTGGTTGAAGACACATGTGACGGGGGGGTCGACTTTTGTGGGGGCAAAATGAATGTACGTAGCTGAAAATAGACACCAACATCGGTAGCCTACAAGCTACTTGTTAAGCTAAAGGTTCTGTATTGATATTAGCTAGTCATCTTTTAGCTAACATTACCTGCATCCAACAGCTTTACTCAACTCAGTCGGTTAGTTTGGAGGGAAAAACTGAAAAGTTCTTTGCGTTTTGCTGGTTTGCTGCCGTGATTCTAACACAAACCTGCATAGCTCCGCACAGCAGCAGCAGGTCTCCTTCACAGGTGGAAACCCAGCGCGAGCGTCGTAGCGCTCATGTTGCGTTTAAAGGCGGCTCGGAAAAACAGGTTACAACATGTTAACAACGGATTAAACAGTTTTAACTGCTGATAAAGGTGACAGAGGACACAAATATGGGAAGTGTGGAAGCTTCTACTGTATCAAATTGACATAGGAATAACAGAGAGTTGGTCATTCTAAGGTAAAAACCCAGCGCATACAGTGTTCATGTTTTTTTTTCATCCAGACGGCTTCCCGCGCCCCCCCCCCCTGCAATGACACAGCGCCCCCCCTAAGGGGCGCGCCCCACAGTTTGGGAACCTCTGGCCTACACTTTCCGAAACTCGCCGTTCTGCGCATCAACACGACAATTCTTCACAACCGTTATTAGGAGAGTCAGAATGAGAAGTCATTTCTTCAACAAGCTCAGCAGACGTGTTTGCTAACTGCTGCTGCTGCCACTAGTCTGACGGGGCGAGAGGCGCTGGCTGGGGACTGAAGGTTGATGGCAAAGCTTTGGGTGTTCGTGTTGCTCCTTGTTTCTCATCAAGTTTATTTCACTTCCACATGCATGTAAACCTGCCCTGGGCTCTGAAGAAAGAGGAAACCACATCAAGCCCGACACAGCTTTGGTTGAGATCTGGCATGTTTTTCCCGTACATCTGCGGATTTCCCCCTGGTGCTTCTGTTTCCTCCCACAAACTGATCTGTGCTTTTCTTTCCCACAAAAGCAAAAAAAAAAAAATTAAATTACCAATTCATAGTCACCAAGTTAACTGGTGACTATGAATCTTTCATCATTTGCTGAGTGTGTGTCACAGTTTGCAACGCGTCGTTATTCATGATTTCTTCTAGATTTAAGACTGGGGTACCATCTTTTTTAGAAGGGCCGACGTTTAAGACATAGCTCCTGTTGGCCCCTAAAATGTCTTAATGGATCCCTTTAAAGTACGGTAAGAATAATAATAAAAATTATGGCTGTTCTTCAGAACCTAATCATCTATTCAGAGAAAGAAAAACAACATGAGTGTGAAACCACAGGAACTACCTCATCCACGCTACATGCAGCGCAGCTTAACCACACATGTTTTCCACCTGCCTCTTTAACTGTGGACTCACCTGAAGTCAGAGCGCAGTGGATACTGTGGTTAGATTAATTTCCCCTCTCTGTACATTCCCTGCGGTCTCACACAGCTTCCTGTTTTTTCTTCTTCTTCGTATCAGCTTCAGTTTGACTGACTCTTGCCAACCTGTCCACGTTTAGCGGTTTTCCTTCAAACCTCTGGTACCTTTGAGTGAGAGCCAGAGGTGTACTTCATGTCTTTGACCTAGTTTCTTTCACGTTCTGAGTTTTTTGTGAGGTGGTATTGAAAACGAAAAGTCTTACTCCTCCTGAAGTTCCCAGGGAGACAAAACTGCTGAGAAAAAAAAATCCCATTTGTATCCTCAGACTCTCACTATTCCCCTCAACCGTAGTTCAAACCTGAGAACAATCCATCTCTAGGTAAAAATCCTCTCCTTGCTTTGTCCTACTTGTTTGTGTTAAATGTCTACTTCATAAACTTTGAGCTTCATCACAGATCAATTCTCACGTTTGCTTTTATAGGATAATTTCATATGATTTTAACATTTTACTTACTTTGTTTAGATTTTTTTCTCAAAAGTCTCTGCACCTTTTCCTCAGTCCCTTTGGTGCATTTCTAACACCAGAACTGAACTACTAGTTCAATCTTCAAATCACTTGTACAGATGATTATGTTCAATTTCTGCTTTTCCAACATTATCAATTGCTTAAGTGATATTGAGCAAAAGGAACTGTAGTCGTAACCTCCACAATAAAAGTCATTAAAGGACAAGGGTTTGAATGGAGTCAACAGCCAAAGAGAAGAAGAAGAGGAGCGAGGCCGAAGACAAATTCCAGTTTCCATCGCTCTCACATCATCGGGCAATGGTTTCAACCAGGATGCCGATGGAGTTCCTCTCATTCTGTTCCTCATTCTGAAAAGACTATTTCCACGCTGCATCAACAAAGAGCATTGTCCACTGAGACTTTGTGGAGGTGAAGGAAGAGTTCACTAAGGAGATTGTCCTACGTTCCCATTGCTACTTTAGTTTTCTTTCTTCACCTCTCCAGTGCTGTCCTTTCCTTTCTGAATCGCCATGGCACTGTCAACAAATTACAGTAAAAACGTGAACGTGAATGTCTTCCAATCTCTTGCCTTTGGCCTCCCACAATTATAATGTACAATACTTGTCATCAAAAGCTTAACCATAGTTTAAGCTTTTGTCAGTGTAACAGGGCACACTGTTTTATTGACAACATGACTAATCAATGTCATCCAAACGCAATGAAATGAAGACTTGTCATTCTGAGACACTGATGTTTACTGCTGGGGTATGAACTAAGGGTTTTGAGAAAGACGCTGAGAAAAACTGTAAATGAAAAGCATGCTTCCACCCTCTCACCGTAATGAAACCATTACTCAGCGTTTTTCAGCAGTTTCCGCTGTGACTCCTCCGGTACCGGTATCTGTGGTTGAGGAGCAGAGGGTAGGAGAATGGGGAAGGAAGGAGCAGAGAGAGGAAGAGAAACACATATATTATGAAAATCTTTACACTGGAGGTTTGTGTCAGAGACCCACTGGCTGGCACAGCATGTTCAGATTGCTGCTGTAATCCATAAGGCACGGTCATTTATGTGTTTCTGTTTGTTTCCAGCAATGGGCCCGAGTTCATCGCTGGAAAGCTTTCTGTTGTTCCTCTGGATTTCAGGGATCTGTGGTGGACTGGCCCAGGCTCAGCTCATGAAGAAAGGTTGGTTTTGTTTTCTGTCTTGACATAAATGTACCAAAGTACCATATGTCTTTTGAAAAAAAAAAAAAAAAGGCAATAGGCTGTTGCTTTGTAATGTTGCTTACTAGATCACAAGTACGATATTTCCCATGGTTTTGCTTCAACAGCCTCCACTCGTCATGTGCAAGCGTTTTACTGCCCTCTTGTGGACAAAAATGCAACATGACCCACCCATCTCACAAAAGAAAATTATATGATGGATCAGTTATAC